ACGACCCCGCCCTCAAAAAAAAAAAAATATATATATATATATCGTCAAATATATATATATATATATATATATATATATATATATATATATTTCTGAGCTGTTTTTTGGCCCGCCCAGTTTGCCCGGGCGACCTGCCTGGGCCCCGCCCGGCCGGGAGGCGTCCGTACTCAGCATATATGGTAGCTTGCCTTTTTGCAGCCATGCACCTCCAAGCTCTCTCCCCTTCTTAAGCATTTTACAAAAGCAATCAAGTCTGGCAGAGAGCATCATATCGCAGATTCGTGAAAATTACATCAGTTAAGTCTGTGCACATCTATCTGGGTTTTGTGTATCTGATTGAGTGTGATGTCTATATGGCAGCTGTTCAAGTGTAAGCATCTATGTGGCATCTGGTGAAGTGCATGGCACTGCATACTTACGGAGCGTGCATGTGTGACATTGCATGTGAAAAGTGTGTCGGCATTTACGCTATACACAACTCCATAAAGAGAAGCATGACTCTGCCAGACCGTTTCATCGGACTTTCACCGACTCATCAGGAGGTTGAACCCCAGCAGTCTGCCCAGAATGGATTTGACTGCTGGATAAGGAAGGACTCGCCACGTCGCCCAGCATTTGCGATACCCCTGAGCAAAGTGGTCGGCTTCGCTCACACTGCCCCTGCAATCCTAGCAGACTGTCCGTCCAAACCCCTGACAAGAGTGTGTATATAGTATATACGATTTATCTGCGCCAGCACACGTGACGTGCTCTGGGGCACCACCCATCATGAAGACTGACCAACCCCCATTATCCCCGCACAGCGCTCAATATGAATAGCCATTTGAAACACAGTTTTGCCCAGGGCCGAAATCGGCAAAACGGCCAAAGATGCATATTCCAACACTTCCCAGGCCAGTGCACCATCAAGCATATGACCTGCTTGACCCAATCACGCATAGTTAACAAAGGCTGTATATGGGCCTCGCTCCACTACACAGCACTCTACATGCACGTAGACGGTTTCAGGGCCAGGTGCATCCCGACGAGCCCAACATTTTTTTTGAATGTTCCTGGGCCCAAAGCGTCCAACTTCATAGTTAACAAAGGCTGTATATGGGCCTCGCTCCACTACACATCACTCTGCATGCACGTGGACACATTTCAGGACCAGGTGCATCCCGACAAGGGCTGTATATGGGCCTCGCTCCACTGCACATCACTCTGCATGCACGTGGACACATTCAAGGACCAGGTGCATCCCGACGAGCCCAACATTTCGCATGTTCCTGGTCCCCAAAGCGTCCAACTTCATGAATTGTGTTGTGTAGTGGAGAGAGGCCCTATATCGTTCCCACAACACATGGAAGAGGAATAACAAGCAAAGAGATAAAGGGTTTACGACAGACTGTTTCGTCTGACTTGCGCCGACTCATCAGGAGGCCGAACCCTCGACAGCCTGCGGAATCAGCACAATGAGGTTTTGGGTGATGATTTACCTCAACCACTTTTGGAAGCGGGCAGCCAGCAGGTGACAGACATGATGACATTACAAGCAGCCAGGCAAGGGCGAGGCAACAAGGCACCGGATGACAGGCAACAGCAAGTCACATAGGATGGAGGGCAAGGGGGAGGTGGGTGGGCAGTCAAACAACAAGGCAGCAAGACAACAAGGTGGCAAGGCAGAAAGGCAGCAACAAGGTAGCAAGGCAATAAGGCAGCATTGACAAGGCTACCAAACGACAAGGAAAGAAGCAGTGCGTCCCCATGAGCAGCAGCTGACCAACCAACAAGGCGAGAAGGCAGCGAGGCCACACGGCAGCCAGGTGCTCTCACCACGGCGGCACAGCTGAGAGGCAACAAGGCATTGAGGTGGCGAGGCAGCCAAACGACACATAACCGGTTAACAGGGACCCCCACAGCCCTGGTTAACCCTGAAAAGTGCATTGGAGATCATTCTTTTTAGTTTTTTCTGTTTTTTTTTTCTTAAGGCAAGCAGCAGGGAAGCACTACGAGCAGCAGGGAAGCACTACGAGCAGCAGGCCACCAGGCAGCAAGACAACAAGGCAGTGAGGCAGGAAGGGGGAAAAAAAAACAAAGATCCTTACAGACTGTTTTGTCGGATTCTCGCCGAGCTGAGTCACTGACTCATCAGGAGCCTGAGCCCTTGACAGTCTGCAGAATCTCCATACATATTGATGCTTTGAATCACCATAGTCTACTTCGACCCCCGTCGCGAGTGGACACCCAGAACAGGCGACAGACAACGCAAGCAGCAAGGCTGCGCTGCAGTTGCAGACACGAGCAGAACAGGGGAAAAGGCCACAGTGCACACAAAGCGGACAACCTAACGAAAATAGCACAACACTTAGGAGGAGAGGAGGAAAAAAAAGAGGCCATGATAGTATATGCTAGACGCCCTACCTGGCGCACAATGAACGGTTCACCCCTGTTTGTGAGTGGGGCTGTATAGATGGTGAGAAGCCCATGCCGGTTCCCAAACACCATGTCAGTGAAATAGCGATCACCGACCTGGCCATGAGCAAACAAGAATCCATGAGTTAGTTAATCAGACTATCTTTGTGGAAAAGAGAAAGACACAAAACAGCAAGGATCCATCAGATATCACATGCATCAAACCCAGGATACGGGTACCTGGGCAAGCGAGCCTGCTAGACGTCTGGCACGCACTTAGTTGTGTGATGAAGACGTGGCTGTCTGGGCCAGCGAGCCTGCGAAGACAGACAATTAAAATTTCAATTTACAAACGAAAAGACAAAAATCTGGGAAAGGTTTGTTGTGTAGAATTACGATACAGACATCATTCGGATGAGAGCCAGCTCAACTCCTCACCAAACTACAGATTTCCAAAACAAAAGAAAAGGACAATTTTTTTAATAGTATTTAATACACATTTACCATCAAACAGAACTGCGTGGCGAAATAGTCCTAGGCAGAGGGGGAGAAGAGGACGAGAAATGCGGGGCTTTGACAGACTGTTTGGTTGGAGTTTCACCGAGTCGGATGCAGAAGGAGGCTGAACCCTCTCTAAATATGTACATATTTCATCACGGAGAACTGCCTGCTGGTGAGCCGTAGGCAGAGAGCGAGAAGAGTACAACAAACAAGGGGCTGTGACAAACTATGGTGGAGAAATCCTACACCTACCAACAGATGAGAAGGAAAGATGAACTCTTTGCACCCAGCAGTTGGTTTTGAGACAAGTGAACGTTTTTGAGGGTTCTCTCTCTCTCTCTCTCTCTCTCTCTCTCTCTCTCTCTCTCTCTCTCTCTCTCTCTCTCTCTCTCTCTCTCTCTCTCTCTCTC